TCACCAAGGTCATGAGCAATCAAAATACCATCTAATTGTGAGCCTCTTGGATGTATTTATAAAAAGAAAAATTGCACAGGACAGCTACACGTGAAACCACCCCCAGCCGTGACGCTGTTCACACTGCATTGAGTCCTGTCCATGTGGTTGCACATAGCAAATGTCCAGCCAACTACAGCGCCCTGTCAGGGACGGGCGCTCCTGATCCCAAGCTCTTCTGAGGCCAGAGCAGATGGCGCCACACCACAGCACCAGGAGGGCACTGTGACCAAGCCCAGAAACGGGACCAACTGCTGCACTCACAGGAGGTGTGAGAGATTGCTGTATGATCAGCGTATTAACCACGCTGGCCCCATTACAGGGGGTCAACGCAGTCTAAAGGGTGGAAAATCATAGCCTCTAGCCAAAAGCTCTTCCCACATGAAAAAGCCCCAGAGAAATAATAAGCAAACCCCTGAACTCAAGCAGCCAGTAAGTTACAGCAGGTAAATAAATTAATAAATGAGACGACAAGGACCATATGCAAAGTATTACCCGTGAACAGATACCAAAAATACCTCGGCCTTCTGGCACATGGCTGACAGGTTGTCGCGAGTCACGTTGAGAACTGGCAGCACTGGGAAGCCCCTAATTAGATGGCTTATCAGCAATAAAAACTGATAAGCAGCGCACAGGTTTATAAACACGAACATAACAACTCATCCAGATGACAAAGCCAGTAACCAGGGCTCAGGCTGCTGCCTGATGGTGAGGCTTTTAGCTCCGGTGCTTTCTCTTCTCCTCACGCCCACTATTAGGTTCACTTGTTGATACATCTGTACTATTAATTGTAGTAATCACTTTGCCTTTCTACTAGCCATAAAGCTTACTGATGGAACCAGCAAATTAGAGTGTCTTTAGGTAAAGGTCGTTAACTGTACGTGGATCATGGAGTGGGGTGGTCCGAATCAGAAGACAATTGCACACTGAGGAGTTAGTGATCCCATAAATTAGGAGAAGGCACAGGCCTCTGCTGCACATATCACCTGGCCTCAGGATAAACTTGGCCCCTGGTGATGCCATGACCTGTGCAGCTGCCCAGGTCACCCACTGGGAAAGGGCAATCTTCAGCAAACTGCTCATCTGACGGGGAGACTGTAACGTGGAAACCCAGCCCTGTTGAGGAGAGAGCCAAACTTGCAATACTTTATTTCTGTTGGAATTCTCTTTCCAGCCTGAGGCTCCTGCAAACTCGTATTTCTTGCCAGAGTTACTTACATCGGAGGCATTTCCTACTCACTTGCCTGCCTCTGCATGGTTGTGGTTGACAGCATAGCCAATCCTACTTCTGTTTCTTGCAGATGTGCAGAGATGCTGCCACTGGACAAACACACCCGAATCTGGGATTACATTTTGATTTTTATTGAAATACAAAAAGTGCAAACTGTGAAATATAAGACTGGTGCAGATTAAAAGGAAATAAACAAAGTGAATCGTGAAAACCCCAGGCCTGCACCTGATGAACATCAACAGAAAAGACAGGGAACACCAGCAACAAAAGCAAAGCCAAAAATTTTGCACAGGAGACCCTCTGCATAAGAGGAAACAGGGACCGAACTGGCCCTCAGCTCTCTCAAATTAGCAAACATTGCCACAAGGCATCCAGATGGCCCCAGCCTCCCCTGCACCACCCAAAAGCTGTGGTGTCAGTACACAGCTTGGGCCAGGATGCAGGGAGTGATCTGAGGGCGTTAAGACAGCAGGATGCTTAGCAGAGGGGAATGGTCTAGGTGCTAAAAAGCAGAGGGTTGAAGTGGACTTGTTCCCACAGGGAGAAATGGATAATAACTAACCTGAAAAACGAGCCAGGGAAGAGACCCATGGGCAGCTCTACAGCAAGGACAAAACTGACAAACAGACCAGCACCCTAATCAGATCCTACCTACACCTGGCAGAGAAACCCAGCCCAGCCAGCACCGTGCCTGCATGAGGAGGCTGACCAGGTGAGGAGGGGGTTGAACCCCCTGGGCTGGGCTGATGCAGGCTCTGGTGGTCACCCACTCACTGCAGGCTGCCGGCAGGCCCAGGCCAGTTCGTTGCTCGTTGTCACAGGAGGGATATTTCAGTACAAGGCATTTAGGAAGAGCAGAAGCAAAAGCAATCCTTGTTACTGTGCCTGCTCCAGGGCCCCCAGCAGCTCCAGCATAAGGAGCACCAGAGGAAAGGGGATATTTACACTGGGTCCCTTCCAGAATTTGCAAGCACTTTCCCACCATGAGCAGTAGCAGCTTCCTGAGCACCCTCCAAAACTACTCCCTGCAGTCACTGAACTGGAGCAGCCTTTTATCCCTGCCTGCAGGGGATGCACCAGGCTCCCTTTGCTAAAAAAGGAAACATTATTTCAAGAATTCAGTTTAAAAAAAAAAGAAAAAATAAAAGCACCCACCAAACAAACTCTGGCCTCAGCAGGGGACACTTGGAGCAATCCTGGCTCCCTCCCTGGAGAGGAGCTAAGCTTCCCCAGCACCACTCCTCTCACTACCAGGCAGGGAACAGATCTGCTGCTCTGCAGGGCTGGACCGTGCCAGCCTCCCCAGAGAGCTGGGGCTGCGCCTCGGGCCAAGGCCTCACCCCCTGGCACCCAGTCACCTTCCCTTCCAAGCTGACAGCCTTGGGCTTGCTTGTCCCAGCAGAAGACAGCTGGGTTTGCCTTTCCACTGGAGCAATATAAGCAAGGCCAGGGCCAGCTGCAGATACAGTCAGAGCACGCAGTGTCCTCCAGTACTGAAGCCAACACAGAGTGGGGTGCTTAC